TCCTCCCTACCTCTATAAAAAGCTCCCCCAGAAATGTTTAAGCCCCAGCTGAGTCCATTAACAGACCAAACACTGGAAGCCTATTTCAAATAGAAGGCGAAGTTTTAATGTGAATGCTGTCCCCACACGCCCCTCAAATTCAGATCTTTCCCTTCTCCAATCTCTGTCAGTTCCCCCAGACAACTCTAAATAATAGAAAAGACTCTGAACTTTTATCTTCCCTCCAGTGATAGAAACTTTGCTCCCTTTCAAGCCGGTGGCTGCTGCTTCGCAGTCTCCAGAATAAGTTTCTTCCCAGAAGGCACCTCATTGCCTCATGCAACAGAGCTCCTGGGAGGTGTGCCCACCGATGTTTCAGACATATTTAGATGTGGGAGAACCCTACGTGTGCAGCCAGCCTGGGATCGAGGGAGAAAAAGGTAACAAATATGAAGTGCCTAGCATAGCACCTATCGAGTACATTCTGGCTTTTATTCATGACTACATAGGGAATTCACCAATAATTTTTTTTATTAAAGTATTTCTTTTCAATATATATTTATTTAATTTTTTTTTTTTTGAGACAGATTCTCACCCTGTCTCACAGGCTGGAGTACAGTGCTTGGCTCACTGCAACCTCTGCCTCCTGGGTTCAAGTGATTCTCCTACCTCAGCCTCTAGAGTAGCGGGGATTACAGGTGCCCACCACCATGCCCAGCTAATTTTTGTATTTTTAGTAGAGATGGGGTTTCATCACAATTGGCCAGGCTTGTCTCAAACTCCTGACCTGAGGTGATCCGCCCACCTCAGCCTCCCAAAATGCTGGGATTATAGGCATGAGCCACTGTGCCTGGCTCTTATTTATTTATTTTTGAGACAGGATCTCAATTTGTCCCCTAGGCTGGTGCGCAGTGGTGTAGTCATGGCTGACTGCAGCCTCAAACTCCTGGGCCCACGCAATTCTCCCACCTCAGCCTCCTGAGTAGCTAGGACTAGAGGTGTACACCACCACACCCAACTAATTTCTTGTAGAGATGGGGTTTTGCTACATTGCCCTGGCTGGTCTCAAACTCCTGGCCTCAAGCGATCCACCTGCCTCGGCCTCCCAAATCAATGGGATTACAGAGGTGAACCACCATGCTCGGGTTCTTTTAAATTTAATTAAGAGCCTATTCTCATCTAGGCACTGGGCTAGGAGGGATGGAAAATAACAAATACATATAATTTGATTTCTACTTTAGGAAGTACAGAATTTAGAGAGGAGAAAACACACCTAGTCCAACATAGTACAGAGTTCAATAGAATATAAGTTGAAAGAAGGTCTAAACAAAGTTCTGAGGAAAGTAGATTCCTTTTCCTTGGTGGAATGGAGCAGGTGGCATCCAATGAAGTCTGGAGACTGTGTAGTACCTTCTACCACTGCACAAGGCAGCATCGGGATTCCGGAGGAAGGGGGAGATCTGGGGAAGAGGAGGGAATGCCACACTTAGGGATAGTGGGCTGGAAAGACAGGTAAGAGCAGGAATGACAAACCAGTCTGGAAAGGGAAGCTGAGGCACATTCCTGATGGCTTTGAGATGAAGGGAGACCAACAAGAGGGCTACCGTAGCAGTCTGAGTCTGACCATAACCGCTCCAACTAGCGTGGGACTTGAGGAGCCGAAGGAAGGAAGCAGGCAGGAGCCAACCCCAGCGTGTGCGGCATGGGGGATATGGGGGAAGTGGATGAGGCCTGAAATAGCTGCCTGCCCTGGGGCGAGGACTGGCACAAGGCCACAGAGGGTTGTGACATTGCTCTTCGTGTCTCTTCTATCTAGCAGGTATGTGGTTGGAGCCTCTGCTGTAAATCTCGCCCTGAGTACGATCTGGAGACAGGGCTTCATTGGAGGACAGCTGCACATCTAATTTTAGGTTCATGCTAGAGAAGTAGGGCAGGTTTAATCTCCGCAGGAGGGAGGAGCATAGTGACACAACACTGGGCATCTGCTCCTACAAAGGCACCTCGGAATAACTCTCCCATAGCATGCTGGCGTTTGGAGGGTGATACTTAGCAGAGCTCTCCATGTCCCCTGACAGGTCACTTCAGCCCCTCCCTGCAAGACCCCCTCAAGCCCACAGGTTCTGTCATCCACATGGCTTGGGTAGAATTCATTTGGGTATGTCTTAGTTACTATTTTCAGGGTAGAGTTTGTGAAAGATGAAAATTGGCAGGAAGTTCTCATCTCCAGACTCTTCACCAGCCTCTGCCACCTGATCCGCAGCAGACAACCAGGCACCCCATAGTATCTGCATTAATAATGATTAACAATGTCATAGCATGTCAAAGCACACAACGTTTTTACACATTATTTTTTATTGCCCACAATAAACCTAGGAGGTAAGACTTGACATTCACGCTTTAAGAAATGTCAAAGTTTAGTTAAGAAAAGTTAAATGACTCGCCAAGGAATCTTCTAGAAGGAGGCTGACAGAGCACGTCTTCCAATTTCATTACCTTTGTTCTTATCTTGCTGTTGATGAGTAAGGATAAGATAGAAAACAAGGTAGCTTTGGGAAAGAATTCAAAAGCAAAAGGAATCGCTATTTAGCCTTTGAGAGGAAACAGCCATTTGATGGAGGAGAAAGACTCCTCTATCATTAAGCAAATTGTTCCATGGGTATGAGCCATTTAGATTTAAGCAAACTTTAACTGCATATGATTGTCTTACTTATGACGGCTTTAGAAATAAAATGCTGGAAATACACTGTGTGAGATACCCCCGTGGTGGCTTAAGAGCTGAGGCTCCTGTATCAGACAGAGTTTAAATCCCAGCTCTTTCACTTAAAACCCAGCATGTTACTTAACTTCTTTCAGTTTCAATTTATTTTCCAGTAAAATTGGGAACAATAATGGTACCTGCCTTGCAGAGCAGATGAGAGGCTCAAAGGAGGTAATGCATGCTAAGAGCTTAGCACAGTGCAGGGCACCTAATAAACACCATGCCAATGACAGCTATATTGTAATGGATGCTGGAAAAGCCTCTCTCCTACAGAGGTTTGGTTTTAATATAGCATTTGACTGCAGAAAGGGAGCCATCTTGCCCAAAATTTATGAAACAAACCAGACATATAGAAATATGCCGAGGTCCCTGGAAGGCTCCTTTTGTTATTAGAAGCACCCCACCCCCACTCCTATTAATCCCTGGTATTACTTTCCCAATTGCCTCTGGAACCTTGATCAGATTTGTGCCTGAATTCAACTCCCTTTGCAGGAGGAAAAGAAAGCAATAAAAAATGACAGCTAATGGAGTCTCTGAGGAGGAGGTGTCTATGCTTTGTTGATTTCTCCCAGGTACCAACAAGCTTGGCCTGAATGAGGAAGACAACAGAAGCTCCCAGAAAGGAGAGACCTAGTGCCTTGATGCCCATGGTTGTGTGAAAAGGGCTTGCTAGGGGAGCCCTCCAAACAACATGGTGCCCACATGGCAAACAAGAGAAAACTGAGTGAGACGCGTATGTGGATGAGCCCAGCAGATGTCATGCAGATTTTCACATAACCTAAGGAAGAAGCCAGACATTCCTGATCTTCTGAACAGCTGAATTATGACAGCATCACATTAGAAGAAGCCTTGTGGATAGGGCGGAAAGTTCACAGATTGGTGACCAAAGAACATGTTGACGCTGCAGATGTCAGCAGCAAAGGCCTGCACACAGTGATAAAAGTGAGACATATCCAAATCACATATATGTCCAAATGGACACGAGATGACAGAGGACAATCTGTGTTTGTCCATCAACACACAAGCACTACCATGACTTCTTAGAACTCAGATGCACTTGAGGAAGAAGGGCAGAACAGTGAAAACCCTGAATGAACCAAAGAATCACTAATTGGCATTAGATTCCCAATAAGACACTGCTTTATGTTTCCTGTTATCTGACATAAATGTAAATTCAAGACAGAGTAAAGTATAATATTATTGAAAATAAAGAAATTTTTTTTGGTCCTTGATTTTTTTATTTTGAAGTTTTTACCTACTAGATGAGGGTCCTTAGTAGAATTTAATTGAATTCCACTTTGCAGTAAATTCACACCCTAGAGAAGATGTTTCCAAAATGAAATACATAAAACACTGATCCCCATTCTTCCCCTAAAGTTGATCTCAAAAAAAAAAGAAAGAAAAAAGAAAAAAGACAGTTCCTGACTAAATAAGTTTTTGATTAGGGTATACTAAATAACAGATATTTTCAATATGTGTTGGCTTTACAAAGACTCTGAGAATTCTTACAGTAAAGAAACCAGTATTCAATCCATTTCTCAACTTATTGGATGAGAATTTTTTTTCACTAAGATATAGTGTATTTCACTCTAGGAAATGTGTGCACGGTGTAGAGAGTTGCAGGTGAGAATGGATGATAATGGCATAACTGCGGTGACCCAAGAGAAAAATAATCAGGTGGAACATGAGCTTAAGATTGATGCTGGGATGCAGAAAATATCATGGTTGAGCATGGAAATGTTACTTGCCAAATGACCCCATCTATCTTGGAAATTGGCTGAATTTCTTCTAATATTCTTTCAAGGTCCTCGCTGAGTCACTCCCATAAATGATGGATCTTAATGGTCCTGAATATCTCTAAAGCCTTCATGTCTAACCATCTCCCTTTATAACTTGATGATTCACTCCACTCCAGCAAGCAGAGGCAGAGAGAATAGGCTGAGTTTCATTTTCCAATCATAAAAATACATCTCAAGACCAGCACATGACCGTGATGGACTATTATAAGGCCCAGAACTCATGCCAGAAGTTTAACTGGCTGACTCTTTAGAAACCCTGTCATTTCTGGAATGTCTTTTGAGGATTATATTTATTTATGGTAGATTTGCTGTGAGTAAAAAGTAGATACCTGAGGGCTTCAGGCAAAAATAACATGAGGTTTCCAGTGTGAAAGATCTGGATTCAAATCTCAACTCTACTATTTCCTAACACGGTAACCTTGGATAAGGCTCTCTCCACATTTTGACTTCCTCATCTGGGGTTATCATGAAAATTAGAGGAAATGACCCATGGGTGTGGAGGGATGTAGGCTGGGAAGCGATAAAGACATTGTACCACATTTCCAAGGGAGAGGTCATCACTAAACGGAGCTAGAAGCACTATGAAAATACACGTGGGACAATCTCCATCTCTCCATGTGTTACGAAAGGGGCAGAAGTATTACACAGCACTCTGTACCTGATTGATCGGGTGCGCTTTCGGGTGTAAGGAGTAATAACCTTGAAAAGCAGTTCCATGGCTCCATTAATTCCCAGCATGGCTCCCGTGGAGACTAAGAAAGATAAAAGTACTGTAGTTATAGCCACGAGTGGATGAGGTAAGGTTCAATACAACTTGAATTGACTCCTTTACGTCTTTAAAGGGAACCTGATAAACAAGACAGCTCCCTTTCTTTTCTACCCTGGTTGCACGTTTCCCTATAGTTTCATACTTTGGTCTCCCATGACTAAGGTAATGACTTGACTATGGACTATGCCTCAACTAGAATGTCAAACGAAGAATGAGTTCTTCCCGCTCAGCGGTAACTAGGCTGGGAAGTTTTTGCCTTTTTGCCCAATTGAGTGGTTATAAAAGCATTGTCGTAGATCTGAATGATAGAAAGAAACTCAAAAGAGGTATCTGGTTAGATAAATACAACTTTTGGATGTCACTCTTGTCTCCAAGGATGCCCCAGACTCTCTCCAATATTCCCAGGACCCGACTTCACTTAGATCACTTTAAATAGAGCTCTGCTCATGTCAAAAAAAAAAAAAAAACAACAAAAAACAAACAAAAAGCAAGATAAGTCCAAAGGACACAAAATAGAACCAGTAAGCAAGGGGGGCAAAATATCAGAGTGAGAAGGAAAGAAGGTTATCTTCCAAGGTGTGACTCTCGTCCGTCTTTCCTCCATTGCACTTGTGTTTTTTAAGACGAAGACCTGTGAATGCCTTGTGCTTTAGGCTAGCCTTGATCTGAGAAAAATAAGTGGAACAAGAGGTCTTAGAGAAGCAAAGAGAGGAAAACAAGGGTGGCTGATACTGAATTGCTTCAACCCTCAGGAAAGGAAGCCAAATGGAAATCTGAAGACTCCTCATCCGACTACAGTCTATCAGATAGGGACTGAGGCTGATGTCTTTGCTATTGCAGAGTGCATGTTCCTGGAACATCCCCTACATATATGTCCCTCCTGAAGCTAGTACATGAAGTAATTGCCTGGATCAAAATTCAGAGATTTGGCATCCTAGTCCTGACCATCAATCTTCCACTCTTGTGGCTACTCACTCAGCTCTTACTTCCGAATTGAGAAAACATATTAGAGAAAACTTTTGGCAAGTAATTCAACAAAATTCTGTTAATCGAGTTAAGGAAGAGTTAATTTTAAATGCACTGATTCTAACATGAAAGACTTTAGGCTTGGAACCGGAAGAGGATAACAATAAGAAATCTTCACTGAGTTCGCCTTTGTGGATGCCTGTCCAAGGTTAGATCTCCGGCAGCTCTGTAAACATCCTCACTGGCCATATTAGAACTTCCGAAGGGCTCATTGGCTCTCACAGGCCCATTAGGGTTCCAGCCAACTCCTTCTGAAGATAGGAGCTATTTAGAAAGCGTTGCTGGAACATTCCACAGTAGCTACCAATTCACGGAAGAGATAGTAATCCACAGGCTTCTTGAACTGTACTTGCCTCTCATCTGTAAAGCCGATGTATACAGATTGACAGTATAATTTTTTTAAATATCTTATGGAACAGTGAGTTGGTACAATCAACATAGGCTTAGAGGATGAATCAAATAGCTCTCTCCTCATACACACAGGAAAAATCCCAGGACTTCTCACAACTCCAGCTGAAGAAATTGTTCAAAATCTCCATAACAATTATATTTAAGGAAGGCAAGTTTTTCAGCCTAATTATTCTTTAGGAAACCAGAAAATGCTTCCAATTTTGTTCTGCTGGCATGTTGCAAATGTGGATGGCATACCTTCTAACTATTCATTAATGAGAGCTGTCCTTTATACACGGCCACAGTTCCTCTTTTCCTTTATTAGATATGAGTGTATAGAGATTTATTCAGCCTTTCCCTAATGCTCTCTAGTTTTCAGGTCAATATATGAGAGATGGGTGAATAGAGGCTCCACCTGTGAACAAGAATTCAAGTATCTATCCCATTATTCCCCAGGAAGACTTTCTCTTTATGAGTCCTCCATGTCTATTAAGAGAATTTACTAATGAAAATCAGGTTATTGTGGCCGGGTGCAGTGGCTCACACCTGTAATCCCAGCACTTTGGGAGGCCAAGGTGGGTGGATCACCTGAGGTCAGGACTTGAGGATCAGCCTGGCCAACATGGTGAAACCCCGCCTCTACTAAAATACAAACAATTAGCCAGGCATGATGGCAGGTGCCTGTCATCCCAGCTACTTGTGAGGATGAGGCAGGAGAATCGCTTATCACTTGAACCCGGGAGGCGGGGGTTGTAGCCTAGCCAAGGGCACACCAGTGCACTCCACCCTGGGTGACTCGGTGAAACTTTGTCTCAAAAAAATGAAAAGTGAGAAAATAAATTTCTTTTTTTTTTCTTTCCCATTTATTTATTTTATTGCATTTTAGGTTTGGGGGTACATGTGAAGAACATGCAAAATTGTTGATAGGAACACACATGGCAGTGTGATTTGCTGCCTTCCTCCCCATCACCTACATCTGGCATTTCTCCCCTTGCTATCTCTCCCCAGCTTCCCACCCCCCACCGTCCCTCCCCTATTTCCCCCC